ACGCCTATCGTGCTCCTCTCCTTACTCCGCTCAAACAAACTCCACCACTCCTTGGACCCGTACAACCTTAGCAACCGCCACTACCGTATCCAGTACTTCTGAAATTGGCATAACTGAAGCCAAAGCGCTCGTCCACCGTACACAACCAAAGTAGCTGGGCGCACGCCAGCAACGAGGGCAGCATGTAAAGTACGTTCCACTGTTTCCCATCCCGAGCTGCCCGCCTCACCGCCCCAGCCACCCGCGCACAGCGTGCATCTCCTACTCCGTTCTATATTCCACCAATTCTTCCACCCCTTCTCCTCCCCAGCCACCCGCGCACAGCGCGCATCTCCTACTCCCTTCTAAACTCCACCAATCCTTCCAGCCCTTCTTCCCCCCCAGCCACCGGTGCACAGCACGCCTCTCCTACTCTCCTACTCCACCCTTTTCCCCCGGTCTAACGCCGCGAGAAAGCCAAACGGTTGGTCCCGCACATGTATTGGATGAATTGAGGGACAGCTGAGCGTCGCAAATGTTCTTCTACCAGATGACAATATACGCGCACACCCGGTAGTGGGGTGCATGTGGCTGCCTTCGTCCCGTCAGGGCCCCCGGCAGGAACAGGTCCTCTCGATGCGGCAAACGCCAAACCTCACGCACCGGCAAGCGACGTAAAAGGGCTACCCACCACCTAGGACAAACAGGCAATATAATGATGCAGTCGGGCTTGTCCGAGAGAACTTTTGCCAGCACCCGGCCCGCTTGGGAGAAGGGGGGATTCATGTAGAGAAGAGAGGGAGGGTCCTTTCTCGTGGAGACCCAGGATTGAGCGAAAGCGTCGACGCCAAGGCATCCCGGATTCTCACAGGTCGCTTCATCGACCTCACTAATTGCCGCAATAACCCTTTTTAGCACAGGCCCATCCACGTTCAAACGGAGCACCAACTCACTGGGTTGGTATGCTGCTGTTGCTGTTGACCCTTGGAGTGTTGCAGTGGCAGGGCATGGCTTTGAAGACACCTTAGGTGGTGGGTAGACATTATTGCTGATTTCCATGGGTTGGAAGGACACCGGAGTAGCTTGATGAGTGAGAGTGGCATGCACGGATGCCACCACCTCATTGATTGTCTCAGAGGCTGTGCCCGGAGGCTGGGTGCAGCGGTTGAAGGATGCGTTGGCGTTGCACCGGTGCGGCACGTACACCTCTTCATCATCCTCGGTGTCCTCCTCATCATGCTGCACAGCACCGACAGCCACTGCTCGGTGCTGGCGTGGTGCGGCACCACGCTCACGATTCTGCTGTGCCTGCTCTTTGTTAGCTTGGAACAGCACCTGGAGTGCCTTAAGAGGAGGCTCCCAGCCGGGTGGCGCCAATTGTGGGTGGAGCACCCAGCAGCTTGGCTCATCATGACCATACCGTCCACAATACTCGCAGGGCGGACCATCGTACATGCGGGGACGCCTATTGGAAGCACCCCCATTGTTGATATTGCCACCGCCACCTCGGTTCTGCCGCCGTTGCTGATTGGCAGCATACTTCGTGGCTGGGGCATGCTGCTCAGATGTAGAGACCATAGCAGCACGACTCACGCCTAATGCAGTCTGTACTGCTGCGGTGATCATCACCGCCAATTCATCAGGTTGATGGGAACCCGTAGCTGCGGCGCTCTTGCCACTTCCTGTTGTGCGACCATTTAGAACCCAGCAATCCTTGCTGTCATGGGAGCTGTTGGCGCCATGGTGCTTGCAATAGAACTTAGACTGGCCGGAGCCGCTGTCTTTGCTTTTGCTTGGCTGCTTGCGCAGCCGTTTCTCCTTTTCACTCATAATAGCTTGCTTGGACCCGGAGGCGTGATCGCTGCTGGAATGTCGTTCCCGCTCGGCCTGGGCTTGCTGCAGGTTGATCCAGATTGTTTCAGTGTCCGTTGCAATGCTGTTCAGTTGAGCATACCATCCCTCACGTGGGGTGAGCTCGTACTTGGTTCTGATGCGCTCCCTTACTGCTGGATCTAGGCCTTCAATGTAGCACTCCGCAATAACCGCACAGGAGTATGAGTCTCGAATGTACGGCTCGAGCTCCCGTATTTGCTGCAGGTACAGCTGTGGCGAACCGTTGTCCTGCCTAGTCCGCAAATACTCCAGAACCTTGGCTGTCTTACGCTGATGAGCAAAAGATTCGTCTAATTTTTCGAGATAATACTCGAGAAGGCTTTCACCATCCAATGCTGGCTCGATAGCATTGTGCACTGCCGCTGACACATCCCCTCCCTCTGCACTAGCTGCCTGGGCAGCTGCCGTGCAGCGGCGGCTGAACCATGCACGAGCATCCTTGACTAACATATGTAGTTGCTGCTTATGCCAGATGTCATACATAGTACCTGGTGTAGGAAAGGTGTTGATCAAGTCGAGAGCTTCATCAACGGGCACCTGTCCTTTGTTGAGTCGGAAGCATGCGTGCAGAGTTTGCATTGCATGCAGCACCCCCCGCTTGAAGGCAGGGAACTCCTCGTGTCGAAAACGGAGCATGGTGGGCCCCGACCACGAAGAGTCGGTATTCTCCATTTCGGTATCGCTGTACCAAGGGCTGATAGAAGGTGAAGACTGTACGGATCCTCCTGAGGGTTTGCTTGGAAGTGGAAACTGCTGAGGTACCGAAGTTACTGCTGAGGAGGCTCGGCTGTGTAGCCGAAAGGTTGGTCCTAGCTCTGAATCAGGCGAGTGGCTGTGTTCACTCTCTGCTACTTCGGCTGCGTCCTCTTGCTCCAAATCACGGCTGCTGCCTGCATGCTCGACACGTGCTCCTGATGCGAGGCTGTTGCTCAACCCTGATGCAGTACCGGAGTACTCAGGGTTCTCAAGCCACAGCACCTCCTGCTCCTGCTCATGCTTCTCAGTGACGGGTTCCAGTCCTGGGTGAGGCTGCTGCTGCTGCTGAGCAGGGAGGGGCGGACCCTTCTTCACTCCCTTTTGTTGCTTTGTGTGACCTTTCCTAGGGCGCGCTGGCGCAGTTGAATGCTTGATGGACCCTGGGGGCCGAGCTGAGCGGTGGGGATTGACACGATGTAGAGAGTCCGCCAGCGCTCAAAGGATGACGAGACTCTTACAAGGCTCTAGTGAGAGCGCAGTGTTCAGTGATGTCTGGGGACACTATTTCACTGGTGAGTCTGTACGGCCGGAGCCTGTGTGCATGTACAATAGTCCTGGGACACACACCAATGCTCGGAGCGCTTGGTGGCTGAGTACGGCAAAGATTAATAGTTCTCTAACAGCTAGGGCTCGGCACACGGATGCACCAATAGAGCCACCACTAGCTGGTTCCACACTTAATAAAATCACACAAATGTGCACGATGGGCGCGTGGAGTGCCAGACAACACCCAGGAGCTCGGAAGCTCCACATTGAAAGGATTTTTGGCTACGAATCCTGACTCACTGCTAGCCAGATCAACCACGCCAAAAGCTCACAAGCTGGACAATAACAGCAGCTTTGCGGCAAATCAAAAGAAAATAAGAACGCGACAAGTACGGCACTGATGCCACGGATGGCTGCCGCCGGAGGGTTGACGCGCCTGCGCTTCTCGCGCTGGTCGGAACCAGGCGAAGAAGTAACCTGAGGCCGATTAATACTGCGTATTCGATGTGCCTCGGAAGGCTGACGAGCTGTGTTGGCTTAGTGCGCGGACGCGAAAAGCCTAGCTCAATAGATGGGTGACACCACTTGGAAAATATACAGCGACGGATCGCTTTCAACAATAGCTGCACAATAAACTCGGGGTACTGGCGCCCGATCCCTTGCTTCTCACGGCCGCCTACTTCAGGACGACTCGCCGACCTTCTCCGTCGTTTGGCTATAGGTAATGATGATTATACAATAGGAGCTTTCCTTAAAGCTCCGGCTTGACTTGGCTGACTTACTCCAGCTTACTTAACTTGATGAGCGCGATCGCGGTAGGCGAGGACGGACTGGGAACAGATCCCTGTCGAGCCTAGAGGTATAAGCACTAAGGGCGGACCTTATGGAATGCTGTGTATATGCCCTCTGTCAATCCTGCTCTGATGCGCGTCTCGAGGTAGGGTAGGATCACAGTCTTGTTACACCAAAACAGGCCTATCAACCCTCCTATGATTATATTATCCTTAATAATCAATGGTCTGTTCGCTCACGAAGAGTTGCTTCGAGAGCCAAACGACAAATTTTGGCTTCTTCGCACTCGCATTTATGGCGAAGCATCGACTGATCCACGCCGGGCCTTATCACCCGAGGCCCTGGATACGTAACGTTGACCGGCGAGCCGTTATCCCCGTTGTTGTTTGTTTTACCAATGTATGTTTTGCTTTGCTGTTTTGTGGCGATGGCAAACTTTACTGGCATTGCGGCGCGCGACGCGTGGTTTTCGCGATGCAAGCAGATGGCGCGGGTCCAGGACAAACTCCATGGCTTAGTTTATTTCCGTTTACAGCTATGTTTTCTGTAACCCTATAAGTCTATTTCTGGGCCTGATGCTGTGTCCCGGGACGGTCGCGCTTTCATGGCACCGGCAACTGCGGTGGCGCCTTGCAAGTTCAGTTCAGTTTTCTTAAATATAACAAATAAAACATCACAGTACTAGAGAAGCAGTTTGTTTGAGGAAGTACATGAAAGCGGTACCAACTAACTCCAGGGTGGGGCTCACTTCGAGTCAGCTGACTCGACCAGAGGTCGGCAAATCGGTTTCTACGGCTGCGGGAGGGCATAATTTCGGTCAATAAACCTCCACGTTCCGTACACATTGCAGGCCGATCGTTTTACAGGGGGGGAACAAGGGGTCGTTGCAAAGCAAGTTCTTGCGCCATGAAGTTAGCATCGCCCCCGAGCTATTCATCGCCGACCGCATGCGGTTGAAGTGCGGGTCGTGAAGGATATTCTCGACCTTATCGGTGATGTGCGTGTAGAGGTGCATCCTAGTGGAGGACTTGTACTTGGCCATTGCCCCCTTCAATATTGCATCCTCCTTCTTCAAGGACCCGACATACTCAGCTTCACAAAAAGACCCTCGTTGAACTTAAGCCGGTGATGTTTGGTACTTTAAGCCAGTCCATGTATTCACAGATCGTTGGGAAGTGAGTGAAAGGCATGGCTTGGTACAGGACCATGTATGCACCACAAAACAGAGCCAACAAGGGATTGTCGGCAACCTCGGTCATGGCCAGGTGCTTGTCAGTTTGCTGTTGCTGCGGATCTTGCGTGTACTGGTCTACAGCCGCTTTGTGGGAGTAGGAGGCCTCGTGCCGGGTGTAAGCTGAGCGATCCCAGTTCGTGTGGGAAATGGTGGCGTTACTCTCCTTATGTGTGTCACAAAAAAAGCAGATGACCGTCGTCGAGCCCTGGAGTGCATAGGCCCAGCTCTTGAAATCACCACCACAAGCGTCAGTCAGCCAAACAATGTCCTCGTTGGGATTATGAGGCCGCTCAAACCCCGGGGGGACACCAACGGCATCGATCTTATTGGTGGACTTGGTGCGCTTCCGTTGCGGGTTGGCGGTGGCATTGGGAGTGGCGGGGGGCAGGCGTATTGCCGGCTGCTGTTCGGGAGCGGTGGTGTTGGGGGTGGCAGGCAGGAGAGGTGCTGGCTGCTGAGTGGGACCGGTGGCGGCAGTGTTGGCTTGAGTGCGCCTTTTCTTCTGTGGAGGAAGGGCCACGGTGCTGGCGTTTCTGGAAGTGGGAGGTGGTGGTGCTGGGAAAAGTAGACCTGGAGCTTCACTGGCGCTGCCCGATGGCCCAAGTAAGGCTCTTCCGCCTCAATATATGTTGCTGGGGGATCAGCAGTGGCTTTACGACCGGTCAGCGTGCCGGCCAACGTGCGTTGTCAACCGCTGGAAATTTCTGCACGCGTTTCCTTCGTTCCCCGGCGAGATGCCGCCGACATGCCGCGGTCAGCAGTTAAAAGTATGCTGAAAATACAAGCAATATGATGAAGATTATGTATAGGATAGGCCACATGGGACCAATATCTGGTATGCCAAAGTCCACAATTGACCAAGTCAAGTGCTGCGGCAGCTGCAAGTCATCGGTACAGACGCTAGAGATGTAATAATTCATCAGTGATAACCGTCACCGAATTGTGTAGAGGTGGTCGTGACATTCTTTTACAAAGTCAAACACAGAGTTCGAGTCCAGCGTGCGGCCCTACGGGCCGCAATAGAGGCTTCAATCACGTCTTTCGGTCGAATTTTGGTCATTTGGGTCCCGCAGCAGGGGCCTTAAGCCGAATTTCGGCTGCGGGTACTGTGTTACGGACCCGCAGGACCCACCGGATTTGCCGACCTCTGGACTCGACTGCAGTCTGGGGGCCCTGCAGCTGCAGGGCCCCCAGGACTGCGTGCGAATCGTTGGGTCAGTTGGCCGTACTGGTTCATTACTTCGGCCAAAAGTCGCCCCAAATGCCTTCTGCACATATAAAGCTGACCATTTGGAGCTTATACACTATTTATATATAAGATATTTGATGATATCACCATGAGACGGCCCGCTGTTGCATTCAACTTAGGTCAACGGGGCATTCGTTCATTCTTGACCAAAGCAAACGGCTCAGAAACTCCGCAGACGAAATGCCCCAAACACTTAGAAGAAAAATTAGATAATACAGAAGACAAGGATAGGCATGCCGCAGTTCCTGAAGACATCGTAGTCGGGCCTCCTTGCGCTTGAAGTCAGTGAAGCCAGCGATTTGAGCGAAGTTGAGGATCCCCCGGCGAAGCGGCCACACACAACTACAGCAATCAGCGACTCAGATGCTGACCAGCTTGATTCTGACGAGGAAGGGCCACCGCCCCAAGATGTCGCCACGGCACCACTGCCACCTTCAAGGGCGGGTGCTTCGCAGCACACACTGCTGGTGATTCAAAAGCAGGCGCGGCGCCAGCAAACACAGCGTGTGCTGAAAGGCCAAAGTGATGGGAGCTGGAGGGAGTGCGTCGCTTCCAGGTGCACTGGACAGCTTTGTTCGAATGGGCTGAGTGTGTTGCACCGGATGTGGAGGCTGGCGAGGTACACAACCGCCGGTGCGGTCCCTGCTCCCTCAGCCGGCGGCGGGACGTCATGATGGATGCCAGGCAGGCCACGCTGAAAAGCCACAAGCTTTCCAAAAAACACCAAGAAGCCATGTGCAACCACGAAGCACGGGCCCTTCAGCACGAGCGGGACTAGCCGACAGTGTGGACGGTCGACAACCTTTTGTCCAGAGCACTCAGCAAGTCTGAGAGGGGAGTTGTGCAGCAGCTGCGGCAGCTCTTCTTCATGCTGGATCACAGGCGCCCCATCCTCGACTATGTCGGCTCTAAGGACCTGTTCCAGGTGCTGGATGTGCCACACTACCATGATAAGCACTGGAGCTGGAACAGTGCCTGGCAGCTTGCCGAGGCCCTGGATGCGGTGCTCGTGGATGAAATCCTTGGCCAGAACCAGGGCCAAGGCCGTGGGCCACCTTTCCATCTCAGTAGTGGTAATCCGTCGCAGATGTACGGTCCAGGGCGAGGGCGGGGTCGCGGCTGGTCGGGGTGGTGACTTCAGCTTGCCAGTGTAGCTGATCTGGTGCATTGGCTGGCCAAGTGCTGGAATGAACATAGATTTTGGATGAATAACAACAGACGGACGGTTTTGTTTTAAGCATGCGTTATGGTGTGTGCAAGTGCGGACCTTGCCATTTTTTCATTACTGCTGTAAGGGGTGCTCCTTTAAAAAGCACGGAGTGCGGTATCCATCGCAGCAGTTCTACGATCCTAGCGAGACTGGCAAGAAGGCAGCTCTGCACAATCGCGGTAACGAATGTACACCAACATTGCCAGTCTTACATCCCCACAGCATTTTTATGGACGGAGGGCTTGGCTCAAGGAGTATTATATAACGGTCCGTTGTTCTATTTGCCTGTCGGCCGCGCGTTTGGGCTTGAGCATGATTTAGTACGGCACGCGGGGTCACAGGAGGTTAGGACACAAGGTCAGGGAGAGCAATTCTTTGGGCTGCCGGCCGGTCGCACAATTCCTGTGCTTCCCTAAATCGACACCCCGAACAGGTCAATTCAGACTGTCGGAATGTCCCTCAGGCCAATTCGTGTCCCTGTCAGGCCAATTCAAGGGCCTGTCCCGGCAACTTGTCCCCGGTGTAGACCCCATTCCAATTTAAACCCGAAAATTCTCAGCCAGGCATCCGGAATCGCGGGACTTAAAGGAATTTTATGAAAGCTCTGCAAGGGGAACACTTACAAGTACGGTTGGCAAAAACACTATATTCGAAAACCCAAATAGCATAGTATAGTAAGAAATAGTACTATTTCTAGTAATTGTATTGTGGTTACAGTATTTCCGCCGCCGACGCGGCGGGTGCCCTCACGAGCCGTGAGGCTCCAGAGCACGCTGTTGACGCTCATCAAAAACCTCAGTAAGGAAAGTAGCGATTTTCCTCGGATTGGTATTAAGAAATACCTTGCGCATATCAGTATCTTCAACGTTAATCAGAAACCTATTACGCAACTCAGTATACGCCTCACACTCCATGAGCACATGATATTCATCCTCAACCTTACCCGACGTACAGACCTGACACGTACGGCACTCTCTCGGCCTATGGTGTCCTTTGTTGACCTCCAAAGGCCAACAACAAAGACGGAATTTGGCAACCATACGCAACTGGTTGACCGGCAAATAAACACGCAAATAGCCTGTGGGATCGGAGCCCTCTCTTGCTGGTGAAGGGGAGCCCATCCAGTTATGATACCTGCAAAGCGAAACCCCTTTACCTTGGAACACACGCGGATCACCCCCTTGGCTGAACTGATCCCAGTCACTTAAAAGGAACGCAGATAACCTCTCCAGAACCTCACCCACTCGAATCAACTGAGACGAGTATACATCTACCTTCTGAGAAACGGAGTCACACGCCGGCCACTCATGGCCCAACCAACGCAAAATGATGAGCACTTTAGACGACCAGCAATCCACTTTGAGATCAGACAGAAGAGCCAGACGGAGATCATCTACTAACACGTCATGATAGACCGACCCACGGGACTTGACTATCTTATTCCAGAAACACAACGCAAGGCGTAACCAAAAGTACTGCAAAGGCAACTGAGACAGCTCCCTGTACAACAGCTTGTAAGTGTACCTGCTTGAGCCCAGCACAACGTAAACAGAAGTCACGCTGGACCTGGACCATACCATCTTCCAAAGCCAAATCAAAATATGACTTACCAGCGGGTAAAACACCTTTACCTAACCGCAGGACGGAGACAATCCTATCAGGACCCCAGACCTCAGCACCATAACAGAGAACCGAACGGACCTGGGTGTCGAACGCTTGAAGCCGAACGGCAGGAGCCCACACCCTGTTCTCATCCAACCGATTACTAAGACCGAACATAGCCCGTCGCCCTGCTTCCAAAAGTTCGTTGACACAACTCGCAAACGGGGACGCAGGGCCCCAATAGAGACCCAAGTACCTAACGCGACCACACCAGTTAATAGGACTAGGAACAAGTAAACTACCAACCATGGGTGGGTGCCAAAGCGACCCATCAGTACGGAGAGGAAGCATGAGCCTCACCCCCTCAAACGCCCTCTTAACGACATCAACGGAAGCAGCCACAACAAGGGCCTCACATTTCCGAACGTTGCAGCGCATACCAAAAGCAGCACAGAACTCAATAAGCAGCTTAAGCGAGAACTGGAGGCGTGCCAACGAGGTCGCGAACAAAGTAAGGTCGTCTGCATAGAACAACAGAGGCAACCGACGATCATTAATGACAGGACATTCGTGTGCACATGATAACTTGAACACCCAGCTTGTGTTACCAGTTGCCCGCACGGGCATTCCAACTTGCCACCAGCAGGCTGACAAGTTTGCTTTCATTCCTCTATGAAATACGCAAGCTGCTCATTTGTACATTTACTTTAGCCAATGCTCGGGGCCTCTGGAGACTTGCGGTGTGCCGTGATGAAGCTCACGGTTGTGGGGCGGATTGCTGAGGCCGCTGGCGCTTCGGGGATAAACATCATAGACCGCATCGAACTTCACCCAGCTTGTGTTACCATTTGCCTGCACCGGCATTCCGACTTGCGGTCTGCCGCATTAGACATGCGGCATGCACCCGGGATGGATGCGATTCACATGGAGCCCGCAGAGGGTGCCAACGATTCCGCCGGTGCAAGCTTAGCTCCCAAACCATCAGCACTGCTGCAACAAAGCACATCTCCCACCGCGTTGACACTACCCATCAATTGCCACGCTAGCTACCAGCCTGTATGGATGCACCCGCCTTTTTTCCAGCTTCGAGGAAGCCGACACCCGACTTGTCGCCTCTACCTATCCTATATGTCACACACGGGACAGGATGAGGGGCACGCTACATGCTGCCAAGTCAAAACGGTAGGTCACATAACTAGGTAGGCTATGAAGGCCCTGAAACCAGACAGCACCTAGAACACAAGTAATTCCTAGTCATTGGCCCACTTAAGCCTGCATACATACAGAGTATGGTTCAACACAACATACCAACGGGTTGTATGACAAATGAACCTTCTGCATTATTATTAAGCACAACACACAGGCTAGGAAACTATCTACCCTAAGTGTATTTCCTGTCCATCCTCCCTGCGAGCTTTAGATTCATGCAACCGCAAAACTGAACGACCAAGTATTACCTCCTTGCATTCTAGCTCGCACAAGCAATTGCCGTACTCCCGTGATTTGAGCTTAAGGACTTGGTTCCTTTCCGGGAGCGGTGCAAGTATATGTCTCCATGGAACCACAAGGGGTTGGCTGCACCAACCTATGAATTCTTGGGAACAACCAGAGGTCTGCAAAGTGGTCCTGATCCTCTAACCCAGGGGGTGGGTACCGGTCAGCAATCCTCTAATCTCAACAGGGGTGGACCACTTCTAATTCCTAATCCCGGAATGGTGGTCTTATCCACATCCTAGGGGCGGGGTCGTAATCCATATCCCGTTGCAGTATCCCAATCCTAATCCTGGGGCCGGACCACAATCCTAATCATGGGGCTGGTGTCCCAATCCTAATCCTGTTGGCCGTGTCGTAATCCTTGTTGTGAAGCTGTGTTGCAATTGTAATCGTGTGACTCGGTAACCTTAATGTTGGGGACCCAACCCTAATCCAAGGGTGCCGTGACACCAAAATACACACTGCCATACAGGCGCAAGGCAATGGCAATGCAAGTGCGTAAGAGGAGAAACTATATCCAATTTTCCAGAACGGCCTTTTAGTGCGTGCCGTCAGCAGTTATGTGATACAGGTCGGTCCGCTATATTTTCCGTAAGTGCAAAGTTGGACAAAATGAAGCTGTTTGCCCCCAATGTGCGAATGCGGTGCTTTGCAACCCAAGTCCGAGCAATTCTGTTGTATGGCTGTCAGGCGTGGGGCCCTTTTGCGCTGGCAGAGGTCATGGACAGGGTGGGAAGGCGGCAGGATAAAGCCAACCTTGCGGAGGGCATGTTCGAAGCCTGTTTGAAGGATAGCGCAGTCCAGCTGCAGATTTTATTCATGAGGCAGGTAGTGGGGACGGCATGGCCATCCCACAGGCTGTTGTATGTGGAGCTGGCTGAACTCCCCTTACAATATTACATGGCGAAGCAGATCCTCCATTTCTGGAACCACCTTCAAAAGCAAGTGGGATCCATTGCTCATGCAGTTTTACGGCAGGAGATAACCGATGCCCTGACCAACCCGGAATGGGAGGGTTGGGGAATCTCAATGTTACGACTGTTTTCCTTCTTGGAGTGCAACATTTGGAGCGGAATACCGCAAGAAGTCGTGGGGGTAAAGGAGCATGTTGACTGGTTGTTGAGTAGGCCTCTACCCGAAGGAGCGATGATAACGGCACTAAGAGAGTGTTTGATGAGCGGCTGGGACCATACGCGTCTGACTGTCTTGCCAGAGGAGTACCCATCAGATGGGAAGCAACCGGGAGTGCAAATGGCAAATGTGGCTGGATGGGGCTGCCCTTTTCGGGAGTTGTAGCCGTCATGTGGCCAACACATGCTAAGGTTTTCATTCCTCGTTTAGCACATCGTAAGCTAATGCAGTTTCGTTGATGTTGCTGGGCTTTGGAGGCAAACAGAGCACGAAGGGGCAAGTACCATGTCCCCAGGGGGCAGCGGTTTTGGCACTGTTGTGGTACTAATAGCCGAATCGATGATGAAAAGCACGTGTTATTGGAATGCCCAGCCTATAATGATATTAGTGTTGAAGAGGGATTCGATCATCAACAGAGCATGTTGGAGGCCATGAAATGGGAACCTGCACTTCTGTTAGAGGGTAGGACACACTGTCGGGCAGAGCAATTCTTTGGACTGCCCCGGTCGCACAATTCCCGTGCTTCCCTAATTCGAGACCCTGAACACGCTAATTCTGACTGTCCGAATGTCCCTGCCAGGCCAATTCGACACCCTGTCAGCCTAATTCTGACTGTCGGAATCTCCCGCCAGGCTAATTCGTATTCCTGTCAGGCTAATTCTGACTGTCGGAATGTCCCTGCCAGGCCAATTCATATCCCTGTCAGGCCAATTCAAGGGCCTGTCCCGGCAATTCAACTTGTCCCAGGTGCCAATTTAAACCCTTCTACCGAGCAATTTAGACCAATTGCAGGGTCTGCCCCCAAACTCTCAGGCACGCATTCAGAATCGCGGAAGTTGAAGGAACCTTACAAAACAAGGGGAGCACTTACAAATATCTCTCGTGTGTTTGTTGGTTTCAAATCCGTACATGCTTGTACGGTAACAAGGCGTGTGGGGCTCCTGCCACTTCCTGTCCCATATGGGGCAGGAAGTGG